GTTCATCCCGCTCGGCTATTCTCTCTCATCTTCTTCGGACTTACCTGTCCATTTTTCCACCATTTCGGTCCCACCATTAAAAGCAGTCAGTTCGTATTTTATTCTTCCATGAAAAGCACCAGCATGCTTTCAGCTATCCAACTTCCGATTTCTGTCAACATATAAGCAATCTTGATCCCAAACCAGCACAGTTCTTGTCTTTCTTTCACCTTCCGACCACCTGACCTCAGTAAGCGATTAACTAGTATTTACCATTGGTTGCCCCTTTCCCTTCCTAAAGAGGTTGCAGAAACAGGTCATTTTTGTTGGTCTGCCGATACAAAAGGGCGCTGTCAGGTCATGTGCCATGACGCTATTTTCGACATAGCTAAAGATTCTCTTTTCTAGATACTTCCTGCCACTGATTGGTTCCATATTAGCCAATAGAACAAGTGACCGAAAAATAATTTACCAATCACAATGTGGAGTACTGAAGCACTTGACATAATGCTATTTTTGTTATCTTAATTGAGAGGAGAATATGTATTCTTCGAATGGCTGACAACTTTGCTGAAATGCTTAATTCAGTGTCCCAATTTCGTTTTTTCTGCATGATTTCTACTTAGGAAGCAAAATGGTTTCCTCAATGACGCACGATCGAATAGCAGATGATAGGCTTTAAGTTCTGGTAGCTTCACGTCTTTTGAAACCTACTGCCTACTGCAAAGCCTTCACAATTCATTGTCATAAAGCTTCATATATGTTGAATACTTCATATTACCACCCGACTGCTGTATTAGAGGTCTTTTGATTTTTCAAGAGTTGTGATGCGCAGGCTTTTCGTTACGACGTAATTGCACGAATTCCAACACTCACCTCCTACAATGTCACACCGATCAATGAGGATGAAAGGGAGCGGGCTGAGCGCGATTTCGTCCGTCGGTTTGGTCAATTGGAAGCGGCTCAACGTCCGAAAAGGTCAGTTTTCGGTGTTGTTTCTCCCTAGCCTAAGTATTTGATTTCTTGAGTGGGTCAAACTTAGTTCTGGGATCAGTTATGCGAACGACCGAACAAGTATGTTGGGTAGATTGATTAGTTTAAGTGTAAGAGAATGGTTGATGGGATGACTGGATGCGCTAATGAGTGAATAAAAAAAAATGGTGGATAAGTAGATGAGTTCTCTTCGTGCCGTTATTAAAGCCACTAAGTTAGCAAATAAATGGTTCTCCACTTTCACTAAAGGTAATTCGGTTGACTAACCGAAGCTTGAAGTCTGGGCATATTGGTGGTTAGATTTAAAAAAGCGGTTATCTTGAATAGCATATGTCTTGTCGAAAGGGGTAATGTGTTAAATATGCCTGCATTAACGAATGACCGTCCAGTTGAGCGCTTGTTGTGCCCTGTCTTGTCGATTGAATGATGTGTTGGATGAATAGGTGATCGAGAGACTGAATGAATGAGGAGCATCTTTGGTTTGACAGTCGATAGCGGAGCTGAATTGTTGATTACTAGGCTCAGTTGCTTTTTGGAATATTTGAGTGGACAAACATGAAGAATGAGAATAGTAGAATACACATCAATGATGGAGCCTCGGATTAACTGATTCACGCCTTTCAGGAACTATCACAATTTTTCTCAGTCCCCAAAACATCTTTTAGGTACTGGGAGTTGGAACAACTTCACGGTTACGTGGCTCCTTTCGTCTCCGTGAACCTATCGCCCAAAAGGAAGGTTCGGTTGCGCATTCGACTCGATGATCAAGAAGTGGGTTATTTTCTTCGGTCTATCTTGCTTTAAATTATTGCGTCACCCAGTATGCACTATGTCTGTTGAATGGTTCTCTTCACTCCAAAACTCTTAAATCTTCCACCCATAAAGAAGTGGCACTCCTGTTGCTTGCGCCAATCGATTTCCCGCCTCCGTCACGAAGTCTGTGGTCTCTTTGGTCTCTCAGAGCAGGAGGAGAGGACTACCCGACTGGTCTACATCGATGCGGGTATCGTGGCTGCTCAGGGACCTGAAGAAATGCGCTACCTTGCGCGTCTCCTCTACACCTACCACCCCAATGAGGGAGACACTCTCGTAATCACACGACGCACATAACCTGGCGTAGTTTGAGCCGGACGCATTTACCCTACACCGGACGTGATTTTATCAGATGATTGTGTGTTTGTGTATGGACTGGAGAATCGAATCAGAATTTGATACTTTTACTACTTTTCGCTTCCAATGGGGAAACTAGTCATTTT